GGCATTTAGCTCGTCTGGTAGGCTTGTGTCACTGGGCAGTTCGCAGCTGGGTTTCCCTTTGTAGTTCGTAATAGTTTGCAAGCCCTGCCACATCCGACGAGCCAGTGTAGTAGGTTTCAATCTTAGTCCTGTATTGACGCTTTGCCTGTTTGATGGTTCGTTTGAGGGCATAGCGGTATTTCTTATAAGCGTCCGGATTAGTGTCCCACTCCTTGAAAGCGGCAGCTCTAGCCTTTAGCTCGGTGCGGATGTTGCCTGTAATCCATGGCTTCTGGTTGGGATATGTACATACGGTCACTTTGGGGACGACGTCGTCGATGCACTTATTGATGAAGCCGGTGACTGAGGTGGTATATTCCTCAATGCCATTGGATGAATCACAGAACTTATTCCAGTCTGTGCTAGCAAAACAGTCCTGTAGCGTAGCATCCGCGTCATCTGACCACTTCCGTATTGAGCACTGGTACTTCCTGTTCGTTTTTGCTTGTAAGCAGGAATCAGGAGGATAGAATTATGGTCAGATTTGCCAAATGGAGGGTGAGGGAGAGCTTTGTATGCGTCTCTGTGTGTGGAGTAAAGATGGTCTAAAGTTTTTTTTCCTCTGGTTGCACATGTGACATGCTGGTAGAAATTAGGTAAAACGGATTTAAGTTTTCCTGCATTAAAGTCCCCTGCCACTTGGAGTGCCGCTTGCTTATGGCCTTATACAGCTCGTTGAGTGCGGTCTTAGTGCCAGCGTCAGTTTGTGGTGATAAATAGACTCTCTTGGTAGATAGTGTGGTCTACAGCTTATCATGAGGTACTCTACCTCAGGCGAGCAATACCTTGAGACTTCTTTAATATTAGACATCGCGCACCAGCAGTTATTGACAAATAGACCCACAACCCTGCCCCTCGTCTTACCAGACGTAGCTGCTCTGTCCTCTCTCACCCTTCTCCTCTCTCTTTGCCTTTCTCTAGCCCTCTCCTTCTCCCCTCTCTTCTCTACTCCTCTCTTCTTTCTCCCTCCTCTGTTCTAAGATGACACCTTGTCGTATGGAAGTCTGGCATAGAATGGTCATTTGTGACTCAGCGACTCGTTGTGGAAAATGTTATCACATTATTTCAACCGTTTGATAAGAATGTGATTCATTCATTCACTCCTTCTCTTTTCAACTTATTTTACTCTATTTTACTTTATTCAATCCACATCGCGGAAGTTCGGCTTTACAGTGTGATTGAAATTTAAAGGCAACGTTCCCGCTTTAGTGGAGACTGTATTCACGGTAAACGCTGCATGTGTCGGTTCAATCTGAAATGACCTTTACATTTCTATCGCGGAATCTGTAACGCTTCAGTTTTACAGATTGAGTAGAGCCCTACATGTCAAGAATGCGGAGGCGATGCACCTTGTGATCTATAGCAAATGTTTGGTTAAGGCAGGCCAGAGGGGCACATTTCAACATGTCCTTTGAGTTGGAATGCAGCTCCAACCTCCTTGTTCCTGATCCAGAGAGAGAGTTGAGACTGTTTATTAAAAGGTGATGAGCAGAGTGGGAAATATGGGTGGCCATATTGTTTCATTTTGATTAAGAGAGAGAACATCAGTGAGTGAAGTTCAAGAATAGAGAACATGACATTGTTTTTGAGCTCAGCTGCTTACAGAATACAGTAGATGTTTTATATTGAGAGATATATTTATTATTATATATTATATATTAATAATATATTGAGTGTTGTGTGTAATATATCATCAATAAGGATAGCTACTTTCTTTACAAAGTATGTTTTGTGGTTGTCACATTTCTTTTATGTAGCCTATTCCTTAAAGATGAAAGGGGAAACAGCGCCACCGGTCAATTTTTCGCCTTAAATGACATTTCCAAATCTAACTGCCTGTAGCTCAGGACCTGAAGCAAGGATATGCATATTCCTTATACCATTTGAAAGGAAACACTTTGAAGTTTGTGGAAATGTGAAATTAATGTAGGAGAATATTACACATTAGATCTGGTAAAAGATAATACAAACAAAACAACATGCTTTTTTTAGTTTTTTTAATCATCTTTGAAATGCAAGAGAAAGGACACAAGATAATATTGCAGTTTAGGCACAATTTAGATCTTGGCCACTAGATGGCAGCAGTGTGTATGCAAAGTTTCAGATTGATCCAGTGAAACATTGCAATACTGGACTATTTTGTATCATGTCTGCCCAAATGTGCCGAATTGGTCAATTGATACATTTTCAAGTACATAACTATAGAGAACATACAAAAATGATATGGTAATACAAAATGTAAGTTTACACACTCCCAGGAATGTCATTCATGATGGTTCATTAGCTTATACACTAACTTTCACATATCTAGATGGCCGGGTGGGGTGGGTGTGGAGCCAGAGACAGCATGGGTTCAAACTGCAGAACCCAGTTCCTACATTTGAATATAAAAATGGATTTTATGAAACAAAACTATGTTACATTTTATCTCTGGGACCCTTAGGATGCCAAATCAGAGCAAGATTACTGAATGTACACTACCGTTCAAAAGTTTGGGGTCACTTAGAAATGTCCTTTTGTCCATTACAATAACATAAAATTGATCAGAAATACAGTGTAGACATTGTTAATGTTGTAAATGGCTATTGTAGCTGGAAACGGCAGATTTTTTATGGAATATCTACATAGGCGTACATAGGCCCATTATCAGCAACCATCAGTCCTGTGTTCCAATGGCACGTTGTGTTTGCTAATCCAAGTTTATCATTTTAAAAGGCTAATTGATCATTAGAAAACCCTTTTGCAATTATGTTAGCACAGCTGAAAACTGTTGTGCTGATTAAAGAAGCAATAAAACTGGCCTTCTTGAGACTAGTTGAGTATCTGGAGCATCAGCAATTGTGGGTTCGATTACAGGCTCAAAATGGCCAGAAACAAATAACTTTCTTCTAAAACTCGTCAGTCTATTCTTGTTCTGAGAAATGAAGGCTATTCCATGAGAGAAATTGCCAAGAAACGGAAGATCTCGTACAACGCTGTGTACTACTCCCTTCACAGAACAGCGCAAACTGTCTCTAACCAGAATAGAAAGAGGAGTGGGAGGCCCCGGTGCACAACTGAGCAAGAGGACAAATACATTAGAATGTTGCAAAGAAAAAGCCATATCTCCAACTGGCCAATAAAAAGAAAAGATTAAGATTGACAGTCAGAGATATGGATTTTTCTTTGCAACTCTGCCTAGAAGGTCAGCATCCCGGAGTCGCCTCTTCGCTGTGGAAGTTGAGACCGGTGTTTTGTGGGTACTATTTAATGAAGCTGCCAGTTAGGACCTGTGAGGCGCCTGTTTTTTGTTGTTGTGCACTCTTTTCACTGTAATAGCTACTATAAATTGGACAGTGCAGTTAGATTAAAAATGAAGACATGTTTATGTCCTGGAAAGTTTGCAGTTACTTACAACAGTCTTGCTAATCACATTAGCGCACATTAGCTCAACCATCCCCTATACGGAATCTTTGACTCTATTTATATTTCCTCGATGTTGTCTAAGGGGACTTTCAAAAACAGGGGGACGGCTTATAATAATGGCTGGAATGGAGCGAATGGAATGGAATCAAACATGTGTTTGAGGCCATTTCACCTATTCCGCTTCAGCCATTACCACGAGCCTGTCCTCCCCAAGTAAGGTGCCACCAACCTCCTGTGGTCTACATGTGAGAATTGTTATGGGTGAGAAGTCTGTCAAGCAGCAGGGTTGAATTGCCAAAATAAACAAAAGGTGACCCACGTGCTGCAGTACTGGAGATGAGGGATAGTGAGAAAATTCCATTTTGTGGGGACATGTGTCTGTGAATGAGGTCAAACTGATCCAGTATTGTTCAGTAGTGTGCTACACTAGCAGTTCCATTTCCCAGATAAGCAGTTAGCGAACTCTGTGCCCCAATTCCTCACAGCTTTGGACAACAATAATGAATCTAGTGTTTTGTGTATTGTTTTGTTTACCTTCTCACAATGTGCAAAGGTCAGCCTGGTTCCTTCTTTGCCTGTTTCATACTGTTTTATAACTCTATTGTCGCCCGGGTATTGTCGAGGTCGGCTAATCCATGTAAATGGTGTTGAGTTTTCCCACAGGAATAGCAAGCCCCATATTTGACATTTATAAAGGACTTTATCCATAAGTCCTTGTTTTCACCCTTGGTGTGACTTTTCAGTTGAATAAGTCATTGGGTGGCCTTGTCTCAAGATTTAGCAGCCAGACATATGTTCAAACAAGCTACTGCACATTCCAGTGTGTGGACACACACACAACGGCACACATAGGTGTCTGACTCTTCAAACAGACACGCACGCACGCGCACACACAGACACACACAGACACACACACACACACACACACACAGTATTGTACAGCTAACCTTGTGGGGACACACAATTCAGTCCCATTCAAAATCCTATTTTCCCTAACCCCTAACCCTAAACCTAACCCTAACCCTAACCCTAACCCGTATTCTTACCCTTACCCTAACCCTAAAACTATCCCTAGCTCCTAACCCTAACCCTTAACGTAATTCTAACCCTAACACTAATTCTAACCTTAACCCTAAACCCTCTAGAAATAGCATTTGACCTCGTGGTGACCAACAAAATGTCCCCAGTTGGTGAAATTTTTGTTTGTTTACTATTCTTGTGGGGACTTATGATCGCCACAAGAATAGTTAAACACGTCCACACACACACACACACACACACACACACACACACACACACACACACACACACACACACACACACACACACACAACCCTGTTGCTGCATAATGGGCCTCTCCTCTCCTTCCTTTAAACCTAGTGCTGGGTCCTACAACAGCCTTGATTCCCCATGTATCTGTCAGTGGTCCCGGTCCTCCAACCGTCTGTGAAATCTCAGATAAAGCCTGGCTACTGAGTGACCACCAGAGCCAAGGTCTCTCTGCCTCCCTAAGGCGCCTACTGTGTGTGGGAGCACTTGTCATAAGCACCAGTAAGATGCACAGTGTCAGGCACACTGTGCAGACCTGGGTCACATTGGCCCCGGTTGTCATCACCAAGGCAAGGTAATTGATTAATGGCTGATAATGCACATCAGAAGAAAGGAGGGATAATTGCCTCCCGTACGTGTTTCAGATAAGGCAGTGATTGCTGTTCTAGCTCAAGTATGTCAGAGCCATGCTCTTGGGAGAGGGGATGCCAGTCCTACTTCCTGTAATGGTTGGGAGTAGGATACCCTTGCACCAGTAATCTGTCTTTATATCTCTTTCAGGGCCATCTTTACAGTATTGTATAGTCTTATGTGGGCTGAATTACCTTGGTCCATTTAGTAGTGGGAGACTTCTGTTCATTGTCGCTGTATGACATGGGACAGGAGGTTTTCCCTGCTCAGGTCACACGACCAGGAAAAACCCCTTGGCCGGTGTATGACATAGTATAGGCCTAAGTGTTATGTGTAGACTTCTGTTAGCGTTCACCTTTCTAATGTGGTCCTGTATGGCTCAGTTGGTAGAGCATGGCGCTTATAATGCCAGGATTGTGGGTTCAATTCCCAGGGCCACCCATGTAAACTGTGTGCACACATGACTGTAAGTTGCTTTGGATAAAAGTGTCTGGGAAATGGCATATATTGATAAACAATAAGGTTGCCTGATATGGGCGGGTGAGAAGGTTGGCTAGCTGTTGTGGTAAGTGAATAAACACTGAGGCCTGTGGTGGTGCCAGGCACACGGTCCACAATCTCCACTCTAGCCCACTTTATATACACAAACCACCCCTTAATGTTCTCACCAGTATGCCTCACAAGGTGTACTGTAATATGTTATCTGAGTCATTTTTATCACGTCTGGACATCTTTGAAATATTCACCTGGACTATCTCTTCCTCCCTTCAAATGCCTATACCTCAAATGAAATCCTGCCACTCCCCTCAAAAGCTTCACACATTTACTTAGAAACTCTCTTTGACAGATGCTTTGTTAGTAGTATTTCTCAACATAAAGCACTCTCCTTGAAGGAAGGCTGTATTTCTTCTGGGACGACTCTTATCTCTCCACAGTGCAATGTATTTACTTTTACTTCTCAGTGAGGTATGAGCCCTGATATTGACATGGGTGTGAGACTTGATATTTACATGGGTGTGAGACTTGATATTTACATGGGTGTGAGACTTGAGTTTTAACTCTTCCCTTGTTCTCTCACCACCTGGTTCCAGGGAATATTAGGCACCAAAAACACTTGACTCACTGTATTCCTGTTGATGTCAGAGAGTTGTGCCAGTAACATTACCCAAATTCAGCAATAGAGTAGTACATTTTGACCATTGAGCTGTGAATGTTCACAACAGATAGTCTCCTCAGTTCTTTATTTCTTCATTGACAACATTGATTCATTGTTAGCATCTTAGCTAATCGCTAACCATATTTCATACAAATGTACCTCATACATACATACTTACTTAATTTATACAAATTAGGCTTGATAAATCGTGTGCTGACTGTGAAAGCCGCAGCTAGCCAGGTTCGGTTCCCTTGTAGATAACGCTGGCTGCTTCACAGCTTTTTTACCCTGGTGCTAATGTTGTGGCTGTCTGGGTGAGTGAAGAAAAAGACAGGGTTGACTCCCTAAGCTGCTGTCTGTTGCGTCCAGACTTGTACCACGGTTCACAGTTCACGCTCTGGCTCCCCCACTCTCTGATCTCATCCCTCTGAGTTATTTTAAAGGTAATGTGGTTGCTCTCTCCCAGCCCAGAGGCTTTGTGGGTGGTTGAGGGGAAGACATGGTCAGGCTGACCAAATTATTAAGTGAGGTAAAATGTCTCTAGCTACGTGTCCCAAGTTGTTGTACAAGATGAACAATAATGTTTTTGCTGTATCAAATAGTTCCTGTATCAAATAGTTCTGACTTCCTAGAGTGATAGTTCCTAATCATGAATATCCATGAATTATAGTTCCTGTCATGAATGCCTATGTTCCCTATGTTGATATACAGTAGTCTATATATATTATAAACCTAACAGAAGTTATGTCTCTCTTATATAGTCTCAGGAAACAGGAAATTACTGTGATTTAAGCTGTTATCTTCTGTCTGCATGTCTGTCTGTACTCAGTCTCCTATCAGGAGCACCCAAGGAGAAAGCACTGGCTCTGAGGAACGTCAATGAGACGGGCGCCATCTACTCCTGCCCCATCACCACAGAGCTCAACGACTGTGAAAGGATGGACTTGGTCAGCTCCAGTAAGCACTGGCACTCACTGTCACTACAGTGTCCTCTCCATATGAAAGGGTTCTCCTGGTTGAATGGGTGACATTGGGCTTGGTTGGGATGGTAGAGAAGGGCTTTTTAGGTGGTTAGATAATGGTTTGTTTGTTATAACCACTGAATTATGCTTTGTATGTCATTTGTTACAGTGGAGACTGGGTTCACTCACCTGAGTGGGGATTCCCCCTTGAGTGGAATTTTCTTTGTGGGATTTTCAATGCTTTCAAAATTTCAAAAACAATCCATACAAATTTGCCAAAGCATTTATTGTCTTTATTGTGTAATCTGTTAACAATACTCAGATCAGTTTCTGGCACTGCGCTGTATGTAAAATAATAAATAAAAAAACACTGTAGGATAGCCTGTATTTGATATCAAGGTCGAGCTATCTCATACTTATTCCAGACCAAGCAGAATACCTCCTGCTCCCAAAGGTAGACTTGTCAAACAATCAAATTGAACAAATTCCCCTGCTTCCCAAACCCTTATCTGTGCCCTGATTTGCTACGCCCAACCAACATATATTAACCTCTGTCATTTCTGAAAGACATGCTCCAAATAGGAACATATTGAATTAGTCTTAATTAAAGGTTATGGTAGACTGACTCACCTAGGAGGCATTTATAGCCTCAGAGGCTGAAAGTAAGAATGATAATGTACTTTTGATGTTAGTCAGTCTCTGTACATTTTTGTGGTTTACACTTGTTCAGGCTTGATCCACATTGGATGAGAATGCTGCTGTTTTTGTTGCTAGGTGTCTTACTTTCATGATGATCGTCCTGTTGTTATATTTTGGGGTTTGTTCAGTTGGAACGTTAAGTTTCAAATAACAGTCAGACATTGCCGTATGTACGTCTGCTCTGTTGCCACTTTTCATGGAAGTGTAAAAAAAAAGTAAATATGGAAGCTTTATAATCTTTTAATTACATAAAATACCAGTAACTTTGTATTGATCACTTCTGACGTGACTGTACGGTCATGAACAATATATATAATTAACAGTCACAGAAGACAACATCTAACAGCTTTATGCTTCTATTTACCATAAAGCATGAACAATTGCCCTTTAAAGCAATGAGTGTGACGTGTGTCTCCCACAGCGGACTCGTCTGAGATGGTGGAGGGGATGTGGCTGGGAGTGACCGTGGCCAGCCAGAGAGACCTGCCAGGGGGCCGAGTGCTGGTGAGAGTGGGACAACACCCTCTGGTTCTCTTTCCTCATTGAAAGTGGACCGTCTCCTATCTTGAGATACTAGACGCTTATAACTCACATTTTCGCACAAATCTGTCTTTGACAGTGACATCAATTCATGATTTATGCAAAAGTTTGAGTTATGGACGTCAAGTTTGTTCATGATAAGGCTAGCCAAGTGAGTGTAAGATAAGGTCAATTTAAAACCATAGATAAAGCATAGGCTTTGACACTAGATACGATACAATATATGATACAATATACTTTATTGTCCATTTACATAGAAATTCATTTTGTGAAATCTGCATACAAATAAACAAACACAATACACTATATACACGCAGTATGAAAAACACTAGTAAGTTAGTACACAGGTCACATATTCAGAGTCTCTGTGGCCTGCTGTCTGACAATGTATTGGGTCTGCATATGTCCACTGTGACGCAGTGTTCAGCTGCACTGACAGTTCATGATTTATTACAGTGATATGGCCACAATGCAACAGTATGGGAATAAAAGGTTGTTGTTTGGTCAATAAAGATATAATATTAAATACAAAAACTACATTTTAATTGACATATAAAGACAGGAAATTCAAATGAGCAGCCCTACCCTACATTTGACATATGCACTAAGGTTTTACAGCAAACTCATCTTATTACACCTGCAACTGTAAAAAAAAATGTGAAATTGACTCAACTATACCACTACTAGAACAAAATAGCACTCCTGCATTGTAATGTCTAATTCGTGTCCAGGCGTGTGGGCACCGCTACGTGAAGGTGGTGCCGGGGGGCATTGAGGAGCAGCGGCGGATGGTGGGGAAGTGCTATGTCAGGGGCAATGACCTGACCTTCGACCCCAACGATGAGTGGCAGGCCTACAGCTACGAGGTGTGCAACCCCAACTTCGACGTGGAGCTGGAGGGCTTGTGCAACATGGGCATCTCGGGGGGCATGACCGACACGGACGTCTACATCGGCTCAGTGGGCAGCTACGTGTGGCAAGGTGGGCAGCAAAAGGAGTTCAAAGAGAAAGAGTTGCAGCCTCAAGACTTCTTCTGTACAGATTGGTCTCAGACTAGACGTAACATAGTAAACAAGGCTTCTTCTGTACAGCCTGGTCTCATAGACTAGACGTAACATATTAAACAAGGCTTCTTCTGTAAGCTTAAAAATGAATGTGAAACTGTATTGTTCTCTTTTGTCTTTGTTACCTAGGCAACGTTCATGTAACGTGGCGAGACCCTGATCCAGGAAACTCGTGGGACTCAACTGACAAAGACTTTGGGCAACTGAACAGACGATACAGCTACATGGGTATGGCTCTATCATTGACCTGGCTAGTATGGCCATTTCTGGATTAACAGGGTAGACTAGGAAGCCTACTGTAAGGGAGAGTCTCATGCTCTTTCATTTCAAAATGCTCTCAAACATAACCACTCCCATATTCAGAAAGATAAACATCTCTTTGAATGTATGACTTGAAAGAGAACTAGAAAGAAGAACTACCGATGCTATCTAGATGGCGGCGCTCTGTTTAGCATAGTGGCAATTGTGTCACAGGAAGTTACCTTTGACCTTTGTGTTGAAAGATTTAAGGGCAATGATTAGGCCTACCTACCATAAATGGTACTGTAACGTTGTTACAACATTGTTTTAATGTTGTTTTAACACCACAGGTTACTCTGTCTATGAGGACAGGAAGCTGCTGAGTCGAGACGACTTCACGGTAGTGACGGGGTCTCCCAGAGATGAATCCAAGGGCTCAGTGATGCTGGCTAAGAAGGGCAACACAGAGCTGGTGACCGAGTTCATCATCCCAGGAGAACAAGTGGGCTCGTACTTTGGGAACAGCCTAGCTGTCACCGACCTCGACAATGACAAGTATGTCACCACCGTCCATAGGAAATCCCCAGCATTAGTGGGTCTCTCAGTGTTCCATATGCCAATAGCTTGATTATCTAGCAGTCAGAATCAAAACAATAGCAAACGCAAAGGCAAAATAATAGCATATGCTAATCTTTTGAGAATAGTATTGAGAAGAGTTTGTTATTCTTTTGATACGGGATTGATTGAGTTTGAATTATATCACTCTATAAAATACAAATGTACGAATAGCCCATCATCTGTAGCTTTTACCTCTACTATTTGGCATACACACTCTACCTGACCAGTGATGCAGAGAATACTGTGCTGTAGTGGTTGAATTGGAGAGGCTGTCCTTGTCGTTTCACCACCTCAGATACGGTATCTGTCATGATATCACGGCTGAGGCATGTGTGCTCTCTCTTTCTCATAATACATGAATAAAACCTTGAGCATTTGTCTTCATGGTCTGTCAGCATGTCAGAGAAAAAAGATTATACTGAATAACACATTATCAAGAAAAATATTTTGGCTATACAAAAGACAAGCCAAAAGATGTGAAGTATGTTATAGGCTATGTCGCCCTCTCTAAAAGCACATAAGAATGAAGAATAAGGTGGGTAAAATGGTTGGTAAACCATATACTGATTATGATCCATGTACTATATATGCTACAATGATACAGTATGTGTATGGTTGTGTGTTAATATTTGTGTGTGCTATTTTTAATTTTCACCATCCTAGCTGGAATGACCTCATCGTAGGTGCCCCGTTCTACTTTGACCGTCAGAAGGAGGAGGGAGGAGCGGTGTACGTCTTCATGAATGAGAACGGATCTTTCCAGAAGAAACCTAGCATGGTACTGAAGGGTCCTACGGCATCTGGTTTTGGATTCGCCGTGGCAGCCATTGGCGACGTCAACCAAGATGGATTCCAAGGTAGGCCTAACATAACGGGTAACCTTTTGGGTTTCTTTAAAGTGCGTCATTCCTTCCTCCTTTACTTGATGTAATCGTTGATTTGACATGATTGGACAGATGAACGCAAGGGCTCCGCCACACCTCTCCAGTCAATTCTAATCAGTGATTTCTTCAAAGAAGGGAGGAGGAAAGATGCACTTTTAAAGAATTTGAAAGGTGTGGAACTGTACCGCAATGAGGACGTAGAAGAGGAAGAGCATCATGGGTAACTTCATATCAGAATCCATTGTGTGATTCTGATCTAAGGTCATACTCTTATTGTTGGGTGTGCGTTGTTAAATGTTACAGTCTCACCGATATGATAAAGGGAAATAGCATTGGTATAATCAGACAGGTCACAAATGGGTTATCCGGGATCCTTTGGATGTCCCTACCCTAACCCTAACCTTAACCCCTACCCTTACCCTAACCTTAACCATAACCCTTACCTAACCCTAACCTTAACCCTTACCTAAACCATTTTAAATTTCAACTTCAATGGGGTGATGTCAGAGTTGGATGTCCCAAGGATCCCAAAATCTGCTGTCATGCTGCTGTCACCTAGTGGCTAAATACAGCCAGCACAAGGGCTTACACTGGAACTTAAGGCAGAGATCTGTAAATAATGATGAGACGCTCATATCTCTGCCCTAACAATGGAAGTCGTTTTCCCAAAGGCAGGAAGGCAAGCTTAGGTCCAAAATAAGCCCATAGAAATACATTTTGGCGAGAGTAAAACCTCTCACTTTGCCTCTTCCTCTCTGCTATATGCCTATCAGAGATGGTCTTCTACACACTACTTACTTCATGTATTATACGCATTAAATATGCAGATGATTAATTGTTTGAGCAAACTTAATTGCTCATTTTCAAAATGTATGGTCATGTATTTCCAATGATTCTATTTCCTTTATAGACTTTGCAGTAGGAGCCCCATTCCATGAGACTGGGAAGGTCTACATCTGGATGGGAAGCAAGAAGGGAATCTCTGAGGAGTCCAGTCAGGTACACACTGGCATACTTAGCATTAGGCAGAAGAGGCAATTGCCTCAGGCCTCACATCATCAAGGGGCCTCGTGAGCTGGGCATAAAGAAAAAGTATATACTGTATATATAATAAATAATCCGTATTTTTAAGCTATCTGTTTTTTTGCATGGAATGCGTCTCAATCCACTGCATCCGCCGATGTCGGCCTACCGCGTCTGCGGTGGAAGGTGGCAGAGCTAGGGCAGAACTACAGCGGTGTTTGTCAGACCAGGCGACATCCTTAAAATCGGTCTTCTCACGAAAACATCTGTAGAGTCCGAACGGTTTGGGCTACACACGGTTTGGGCTACCCCTCTACGGAAATATGAGACTGTAATGAACCCGGTAGTGTTGTCCGTTTTGCTCTACGACACCCACAAAGTGTCACGGAACACGTCTGAAGGTAACCCGGTACCCTGCCGAAAATGAATGGAAGTGAATAGGGCATTTCCACTTAAAAGGTATACGGGTAAAAATTATTGATTTATTTTCCTGATTTATTTTGTCTGTCCTATATCTCTCAGATATAGGACAGACATTTCAAAACATACTTCCTTTTGATTACATTTTTTACTATCTTTTTTTCCATGTGTGAATCTGTTATTCAATGTTTCTATGGGCTACTAGCAGCAAGGCCAAATTCAATGTTTAATCAAATACGTTTTTTTTTTATACCTACAGTGGTCCTAAAATTTTTAATCAAATAGCTAAATGATCCTTGGTATGACCATCTTAAAACAATTCCATATGTTAGCTTAGTAGAAACTCAGCCCTGGGCCCTTAGACTCTAGGGGGGATACAAAACGCATTTCTTTAGTAAAAAGACAGGTGCTGATGGTAATACTGCCATCGTCGTCGAGGCAGAGGACATGTACATGTATGTGTAGCCCATGTATCTGATGCTCTCTAGCCAAAAAAGAGAATGGCATGTCATACTCTTTTTGGCCAGACAGCATCCGATACATGGGCTATATATGGTAAGACAGAGGGGCGCTGTTTCGCTCGCTCCGATGCTTTCTCCGGTGAGATAGTTCCAGCCATTTGAGAATAAAAGGAAAGTTGGCTGTGCACAGTGCACTGTTCGGATGCTGGAATTATTTTGGATGAATGTGCGAAGGTAACCTATTTTTTGAAGTGATTTGTTTGACAATCAGATGAAAACAGGGACAGTAGTAATAATACCCATTAGGGAATTAGACTCGTTTGATTTGTTTTATAGATCATAGTTCATTAATATTCACCCAGTAATGCACAATACATTATTTGCTATGAAGCCAAAAGGACAGGGAGGTGAATGCAGGGAAATGGGGTAAAGATACTGTATCGTGATCTATGTAGTTTAGTAACGTGTCCGTGTTGCCCCCTATAGGTGATTGAGGGGAAGTCAGTGGGTAGTGGTGGGTTCCATACCTTTGGCTATTCCATCAGTGGCGGTATGGACATGGATGAGAACAGTTACCCTGACATCCTGGTTGGTTCTCTGGATGACCGCATCGCTCTTCTCAGGTAAGTAGTGGACAATAAATACAGTATGTATTGAATTGAATCAACTAAAACTGCCATAACAAACTTGGATATATTCATCCATGATCTTGTTTCTGTCTCATTTTATGTAATCTGTCCCTCCAACATGTCTTCTCTTGATAGTAATATGCTTATTTTTGTGTATGTATTCTTATTCTTTGTGTAATCTTTTAACATGGTTCATTTCCAGGGCTCGTCCAGTTATCCATCTCTCTAAGAACTTCACTGTGCTGCCAAAGATTGTGGACCCTAAACTTTGTCCCTCTGGAAATAAATCCTGGTGAGAAAGGTTCCTCTCAGATCACACTGTATAAAGTCAATTAACGTCAACTGTTATTTTACTAATGTGTCTTCTATGTCTCCTACAGTGTGACTGTGACAGTGTGTTTCTCCTACACACTCAGCAATGGAAACAAAGATTTCAAGAAAAACATCAGTGAGTGGCATTCCCTTTCTAATACAACCTAATGCACTCCCCTTCATATGTATTTGGACAGCACAGGAGGCTGGTGAAGGGAGGACGGCTACTAATAATGGCCGGAACGGAGTGAATGGAAACCATGTGTTTGATGTATTTGATACTATTCCCCTCATTCTGCTCCAGACATTACCACGAGCCCATCCTCCCCAATTAAGATGCCACCAACCTCCTGGGTTGTACAGTGAAGCTAATGTTTACAATGTGGCTCTATACTCCAGCATTTTGGATTTGAGATCAAACGTTTCATATGAGGTGAGAATACAGAATGTTACCTTTTATTTGAGGGTATATATTTTTTGCTTATCTGTTTTACCGTTTAGAAATGAAGGCACTTTATGTTCTAGTCTCCCCATGTGGATAAGTCATGAGTATTTGGACAAATTCATTTATAGTGTAATAAAGTACTCAATCGTTTAGTGTATGGTCCCATATTACTTGCATGCAATGACTACATCAAGCTTGTGACTCAACAAACTCTTTGGATGCATTTGCTGTTTGTTTTGGTTGTGTTTTGGGTAATTTTTTGCCCAATAGTAACTGAATGGTGAATGATGACTGGAGTACTTTTCTTTCTAAGTGGGTAGATAAGATGTTTCTAAACACTTATAATTCAAACGGATAATGCCATGATTTTAAAAAGTCATGAATAAATCGTAAATAATGATTAGTCAGATTCTGTTCCGAGGAAACAACAAAACATGCTAACCCCTCACTATTACCAAGAACAGGGGAGGTTAGCATTTTGGGGTGGGGTATGATCTTTGTGCCTCTGTAACTTTCTCACATATCATTATTCATGCTAACATTTACAATTTGGCACAAGACAGTATTCACCATTCAGTTCCTACTGGGCAAAGCAAACTGCAAATGCATCCAACAAGTTTGTAGAGTCACAAGCTTGATGTATTCATTGCATGCAAGCAATATGGGACCCAATAATAAGCTTTTGACTACTTTAATACATTCTAAGTCAATTTGTCCGGGTACAAATAAAGGGGGCGGCAGGTAGCCAAGCGGTTAAGAGCGTTGGATCAGTAACCGAAAGGTCGCTGGTTTGACTCCTGAGCCGGCTAGGTGAAAAATCTGTCAATGTGCCCTTGAGCAAGGCACTTAACCCTAATTGGTCCTGTAAGTTGATCTGGATAAGAGTGTCTGCTGAAATGTACATATGACTTCTTTAAATGGGGAGGACTGTAAAACAGATATGTATGAAAATACCCTCAAATAAAAGCTGACATGCTATACTGTCCCCTAATATGAAACATTGTCTCTCAAATCTAAAATGCTGGAGTATAGAGACAAAGAAAAAATATATAGCTTCACTAACTACTTTTGTCTTTCCTCCCTGTGCAGTGGTGAAGTACACAGTGGAAGCTGACATACATCGCCGGAGCCCTCGAGTTCTCTTCCTTGTCAATAAGCTTGCCACCTACACAGGCCTCCTTACCATGCCATCTCCCAAGACCGAGTGTCAGGTGCTGGAGCTCAGAGTAGAGGTAAATACTGTACACACACACACACGCACGCACGCACGCACGCACACACACACACACACACACACATATACACACACGCACGCACGAATGCACACACACACACATATACACACACACGCACGCACGCACACACACACACACACACACACACTCATCTGTATCATCTTCTCCAGGATCCTGTGAGGGACAAGCTGGAGCCGGTGGTTTTCTCTCTCAACGTGTCCCTGGATGAGCAGAAACTCAAAGTCAGGAAGGCCCTGCAGAACCTGGACTCCTACCCTGTACTGAGTCCACAAACAGAAAGTCACTGAGAGGAAAGAGGTATGTTACTGACTTAGGAATAACCTGATTCCATTGAGTATGTAATGAAAATTGTGTTTTCGAACTCTTTCTCCTACTTTGCAGATCAACTTCCAGAAGGAGTGTGGCTCAGACAACATGTGCACCAGTAACCTGCAGCTAACAGCTACGTTTGCTAACGAGGGACTGAAGCCTTACCCCAGGTATGTGGTAAACACAGAGGAAGATATGTAACACATGGGGTATCGGGCAGATGGTCAGTCTGAATACGTTGAAAATGAATGTTACTCTAATAACTGTATGTTGTAATTGAATTCATCGGGACTCGATCCCAGTCATGTACAATAGATGGTGACACATCTATACACCAACAAATTAAACAGTACACACATCTGCACACTTACACCTGCACTAACATACACACGTGGACACATGCACCAATATACATATCAACCAATTGCACCTTTATTTCCCCTTTATCATTTTATACACATTTATATGTCTACTTATTTACTTATGTTCGGGAACAGACACATTTTATACAAATGAATGCTGAATTTGTCATAAGAGTATCAGTAACATTTCAACTAACTATCCACTAACCCTAGCCCTAACCCTAACCTTAACCATTATCCTAACACTAAACTGAACTCTTACTCTAGCCCTAACTCTTAAAGTGTGACCGGGTAGACCCCCACCAAAAACAGGGTTGTACAACAGTGCTTCAGATTCACACAATCTCTCTCTGGTGCAATATTTTGTACATGGCCCCTAATACATGAACTGTGATGCTCTCTGTCTGTTTGTATGCAGTCAGGGGAACCGCCAATTGCTGCAGTACAGCAGTAATGTGAAGAAGGTGATGCTACTAGTGGAGGTGACTAACATGCCAGGCCCTGGGAAGGTAGCTGAGGACGCCCACCAGGCCATGCTCAACATCTCCACCCCAGCCACGCTCAGTTACTATGGCGTGCGCTCCCAAGTAAGTCCACTGGAGGGTGACAGAGGGTTAGGTGAATTCTGGCTTTTGACAGGTACATTGACTATAATTGCTCCATTAACTACAGTATGTTCTGTACATGCAGATTGTAGTATCATACGTTTATTATGTGTAGGATCCTGACGTAGAATGCCGTGCTGGGGAGACTGTAATGTGTGACCTGGGGAATCCACTGAGGAGCAATGAGATGGTAAGGCCATACTGTTATTCCACGTAGAGATTATACAGTGTATTACATCATTGATTTGACCCTATCGGAATGTTGATTTGTGGTAGTTAAAATCATGACCCTCCCGTGGTTTGCAGGTCTCTCTGCAGCTCATCTTTCAAACATCAGGGATCAACCTCCAAACCAGGGAGATTGAGTCTCAGTTGCTGTTGTCCACGTAAGTAACAGGAGATATTTGTCATTGCTCTATATCGTGAACTCATTATCAGATTAGCAACAGTCAGTCTTTATGTCCAAGTGGGAAATATGAATATGATTAAGTGAATAAACTATCTGAATAAACACTTATGTCGGTGTTGTTTCCCCAGGTTGAGTAAGCAGAATGACCTGTACCCTGTGCCTGTGGTCCTGCTGATAGAGACCTCCATCCAGACCTCCTTCTCCATGTAAGTGTAACTTCGGACACATGCTCTATGTTGTCCTGATGCCATGCTGTGTGCCTGCATTAATTCAAAATAATGTCTTAATGGATAATGAAGTATAACACTGTAACTAACTAACTTCCATTGTCCCCCTCCCCCCCTGCCTTCTTCTTCTTCTTCTTCTTCTTCTTCTTCTTCCTCCTCTTCCTTTCTCTCCTGCCCCTCTCTAAACAGAGAGAATCCCCTGGTCCAGACCTACTTCAGCGGGGCGGTGACGGGAGAGTCAGCTATGAACACCACCAGTGATGTGGGCAGTCTTGTGGAATACACCTTCAAGGTGAGACACCAACACTTAGCTAACGTCAGCCATGTTGTGGGCTTTGAGTAATGTTTCCCTTGAATTCTGACCTGTAATTGTAGGCGTAACAGTTTTGTGAGGTAATATGTGGTGGAAAGATTTAGCCAATTCTTTATGTAGAACAGACATGCTTTGCTGTCACAGAATGAGGAATCCTGTTTACATTGTATTTCTATTTCCATATCTGTTCTGTTGCCATGTGTCTGTCCTGTGGTGACGTTGAAACCACACTCCTACCACCAGGTGTCAGTGGAGGGAGAGCCTCTGGGTGCGCTGGGGACCCTGGCCGTGGAGTTTCAGTGGCCCTTCGAGGTGACCAATGGGAAGTGGCTTCTCTACCTGACTGAGATCGTCACCAAGGGGACAACTGAGACACACTGTGTCCCTCCAGGGGACATCGTCAATCTTCTCAACCTCACGGTGAGTTACCAGAGTCTTTCTGAGGCTCTATATAGGCCACAGAATTATATTGTATCTCTATGGCCAACTGGGACCAGTGTGTTACAAAAACATGATTAAAGCAGTACTCCTCGATCTCTGTTTACACCCACAGTTAATCAGTAATATTTCCAATAAGGAGTACTGTTTGGAACAAAGCAGCCAATAAAACCAGACTTGAACCTGACTCACAAGTCTAAAATAGGCTAAATATTCATTATGGCCTAGATTCAATCAGTTCAACTGTTAACCGGCGATAGCCGACACCCAAATAGCTGATGTTTTGGCGGTGTCGGAGGTGTAACTGCGTTGGAGCTGTCAAATCGGTGATCAGCTGCTCCCCAGCTAACAACAAACGTTTCCACAACTTTAGAGAACGTTCCCATCATAGTCTCATTAGGTCATTAACTAATGTTTTCATAAGAATGTTCCCATGATGTGCAAGGAATGTTTCCAAGAGACCATTCCCTTAATGTCAAATAGAACTTACCCAGAACGTGGTTACCATGTTCACAGAACATAAGATATTAATGTTATAGACACGATTCATGGGAGCGTTGCATGAATATTCATGTGTCCAGTTTTCTGTGGTTTAGGAGAATATTCCATCAACATCCCACCAAACATACAAAGAACATGGTTCCACATTCTCAGAACATAAGGCATTAATGTTCTACATTTACATTTTAGTAATTTAGCAGACGCTCGTATCCAGAGCGACTTACAGTACAGTAGTGAGCGCATACATTTTCATACTTTTTTTCCCGTAGACAGGTTAAATGTTCCAAGAACATTTATGTGTCCAGTTTTCTGTGTGTTAGGAGAATCTTCAATCAACGTCCCACCAAACATACACAGAACATGGTTGCCATGTTCTCAGAATATACGATATTAATGTTCTAGACACGTTTCATGGGAATGCTGCAAGAACATTCATGTTTCCCCCAAAAATGTATTACACATCACATCTTGTTACTGTTGCTGAGACAATCAGATCTACATAAGTGCGTATGGAGGAGGGGTAGGGTTTCTTCTGGACAGGGCCTAACTAGACTGGTTCAATAAGCACATTCCCTAGAGATATCCCTTATTGGGACCGTGGTTAGGGCATTCGTCATTGGTGCTGGTTGCCTGGGTTTGAGACCTGCTAGGGAGTCACCCTACTCTCACGTTCTAGCAGTTAATGTCATTATTGGCATTTGAATTGCATTTATCAGACATTTTAGATTGTTTATATGGAAATGTTGTTAGAACACTTGTAAATATTATTTATGCATCTTCGTTAATTACCATAATGTGTATAGATATCTCCTCTTTCACGCATTTCTGTGCCTTTGTGCACGACCTCCAGATGCTTTTTCAGGTTTGATGTGGTGTTTCTGGAGGAAGAGATCAATGCTGCCTTTGCAGAGTTTGCATTTGACTTAAATGTTGTTCTCTTTCTCCTCGATTAACTCAAAATAATGGGAGCATTTCAATAAGGAAAAGGTTAAGCGGGGTAAGAACACAGCTGCCATCTTCCTTTGATTTTCTGTTTTACAATAGCCTATTGGAAACATGTTAGCCTACAGCATGAATTCCGTTAGTATGAGAAAAGGCTTTAAAAATATACAGTTGAAGTTGGAAGTTTACATACACCTTAGCCAAATACATTTAAACTCAGTTTTTCACAATTCCTGACATTTAATCCTAGTAAAACATCCCTGTCTTAGGTCAGTTAGGATCACCACTTTATTTTAAGAATGTGAAATGTCAGAATAATAGTAGAGAGAATGATTTCTTTCAGCTTTTATTTCTTTCATCACATTCCCAGTGTGTCAGAAGTTTACATGCACTCAATTAGTATTTGGTAGCATTGCCTTTAAATTGTTTAACTTGGGTGAAACATTTTGGGTAGCCTTCCACAAGCTTCCCACAATAAGTTGGGTGAATTTTGGCCCATTCCTCCTGACAGAGCTGGTGTAACTGAGTCAGGTTTGTAGGCCTCCTTGCTCGCACACGCTTTTTCAGTTCTGCCCACACATTTTCTATAGGATTGAGGTCAGGGCTTTGTGATGGCCACTCCAATACCTTGACTTTGTTGTCCTTAAGCCATTTTGCCACAACTTTGGAAGTATGCTTGGGGTCATTGTCCATTTGGAAGAACCCATTTGCGACCAAGCTTTAACTTCCTGACTGATGTCTTGAGATGTTGCTTCAATATAGCCACATAATTTTCCTTCCTCATGATGCCATCTATTTTGTGAAGTGCACCAGTCCCTCCTGCAGCAAAGCACCCCCACAGCATGATGCTGCCACCCCCGTGCTTCACGGTTGGGATGGTGTTCTTCGGCTTGCAAGCAACCCCCTTTTTCCTCCAAACATAACGATGGTCATTATGGCCAAACAGTTCTATTTTTGTTTCATCAAACCAGAGGACATTTCTCCAAAAAGTACTATCTTTGTCCCCATGTGCAGTTGCAAACCGTAGTCTGGCTTTTTTATGGCGGTTTTGGAGCAGTGGCTTCTTCCTTGCTGAGCGGCCTTTCAGGTTACGTCGATATAGGTCTCGTCTTACTGTGGATATAGATACTTTTGTACTTGTTTCCTCCAGCATCTTCACAAGGTCCTTTGCTGTTGTTCTGGGATTGATTTGCACTTTTCGCACCAAAGTACATTCATCTCTAGGAGACAGAACGCGTCTCCTTCCTGAGCAGTATGACAGCTGCGTGGTCCCAATGTGTTTATACTTGCGTACTATTGTTTGTACAGATGAACGTGGTACCTTCAGGCGTTTGGAAATTGCTCCCAAGGATGAACCACACTTGTGGAGGTCTACAATTTTTTTCCTATGGCTTTGGCTGATTTCTTTTGATTTTCCCATGATGCCAAGCAAAGAGGCACAGGTACACCTCCAATTGACTCAAATGATGTCAATTAGCCTATCAGAAGCTTCTAAAGCCATGAGATCATTTTCTGGAATTTCCCAAGCTGTTTAAAGGGACAGTCAACTTAGTGTATGTAAACTTCTGAACCACTGGAATTATGATACAGTGAATTATGTGAAATAATCTGTCTGTAAACAATTGTTGGAAAAATTACTTGTGTCATGCACAAAGTAGATGTCCTAACCGACTTGCCAAAACTATAGTTTGTTAACAAGAAATGTTTGGATTGGTTGAAAAACAAGTTTTAATGACTCCAACCTAAGTGTATGTAAACTTCCGACTTCAACTGTATATATAACACGCTGGTAGAGATATATTTCTGAAAGTAATATACGGCTTACTTGAAAAAGTAACTGTAATAATATTACAGTATTTGAAGACATTAACTCGTTATATTACTCCGTTAATCATAAAAGTAATATATTTCCTCCAACATTGGTCTCAAGTGATTCTGTTGCAATTTGTCTATTTTTCCACATTAAAACTTGGAGATGGAACTCTGTGTTGTGTATTGTCTTGATTTAACTGGCATCATCATTGCTTAAATGGCAAATGTGAGAAAGTACAGACATGCTACTGTAAATATACACAGTTCTGATATTCTGAGAATATGGCAACCATGTTCTGAGTATGTTTCTATCAGAAGCAACACTACTGCCTCGGCCATGTTTCAGCAACAAATTAGGAGTGTTACAGATAGAAACGCAATGACGAGAGCTGATGTGATTCCTTATCAGAGACACATGTTTGTTCTACATAGTATAGATGTTGTGTGGATTTCAAAAATACGATATAGAGTTCTTTTTGAGATGCTCAGCTATCTAGAATTCTACCGATTCCCATCTTTCAATGAGAAACTAATTTTAATTAGATCAGATAGGTGTGTTGTAACTGTTGCCAAATTAATACATTAACATCTATTGCTAAGAAAGTTAGAGTAGGGTGACTCCACTACCGGGTCTAGAATCCAGGCCACCACCAATGACGAACACCCTAGTTACAGTCCCAATAAGGGATATCTCTAGAGCATGTGTATTGGGTCAGTATAGTTAGGCCCTGTCCAGAAGAAACCCTAACCCCTCCACCCTAGACACTTGTGTGGATCTGAAACAACTTGATACGTTTAAGCAATACGGTGAATGCACTTTGAAGTAAATCTCAGCTCTGTTAAAAGTACACTTAAGAAAAACTTTTATTGATCATAGTGATTCAGGAGTATCATTAAAACAGGTTAATATGCCCCACCAACATTAGACAACTATATAGAAATTCCTTAAATTGTTGTAATAAGAAAAATCAAATCAGTGATGAGAATTGTCAAATTAATTGATAGCTGAAAGAGACATGGTGGCGTAGCAGGACGAAAGCCGTGAACCAAGAGGTTGTGAGATCAAATACCAGGTGAGGACATGTTAAATAATAATTACTGTATAAATGAACAAGCACAATGTAATCACGTATGTCAAATATGTAAGTTGAAAACACTGTATGTTAATAGCACTGTGTGTGTGTGTAGGTATCTCTAACCTTGCCGACAGACATAAAGAGCTGTGAATGGATCAATGTTTCAACAGTAACGATGTGTAATGACTTTTTTTGAGGGGGAGAATGTTTCTTTGGATCCACGTCCTGACAACTGAAGCACATAAATATTCTTGCAACGTCCCATGAAATGTGTCTAGAACACTAATATTGTATATTCTGAGAACATGGCAATAATGTGCTGTGTATGTTTAGTGGGACATTGGTGGAATATTCTCCTAACCCTCAGAAAACTGGACACATGGATGTTCTTGCAACATTCCCATGAAACGTGTCTAGAACATTAATATTGTATATTCTGAGAACATGGCAACCATGTTCTGTGTGACATTAAGGGAATGTTCTCCTAACTTTAACACCAAAACATGCTAAAAGGGTTCTCAGAAGGTCTTTGCTAACATAGATAGAATGTTCCCCTAACTAACGGAAAACTGGACACTCAAACATTAGGGGAACATTACGGGTAACATTATAAACATTTTCTCTCTCCCTAGAATTGTTAGCTGGGTCTTGACCATTGTCACGAAGCCACACCCATCCCACTTGCGTTAAAAGTTCAGAACAAGAAAGTGTAGGCTATATAGAAATAATGATGTTAAAATTGTCATAAACAAAATAATGTGGATTACATCGCACATTCCAGGCTGCATTGGGTTTCTCTTCATTCGACTGGCAATGTCCGCTTTCGGTATAATGCCAGGAGACACTTTTGGATTTGACAGTTCTAACGCAGTTCCACCTCCGACACCGCCAAAACAATCGTTATGCGGATGTCGGGTAAAGCAGATCTGATTGAATCGAGCCCATCCGCATCGCGGAAGTTCAGCTTTACACCATGATTGAAATTTAAAGGCAACGTTCCCGCTTTAGCAGAGACCGCATTCATGGGAAACGTTGCATATGTCGGCTCAATCGGAAATTACCTTTACATTTCTGTCTTGGAATCTGTAACGCTTCAGCTATACAGATTGAATAGAGCCCTATGTCTGCACAAATATATTTTGAGAAGTTAGTAGGAGTTATTTCTATTCCAGTAATTAGTGTTGTAACATGATGTAATGTGCTTCTTTGTCTGTCGTCTCTCCTTCTTTGTCTCTTCCTCTTCTAACTTTTCTCCTCTCCTGTCCGTCTCTCTCCCCAGTTGTCCAAGAACAGGAGCAAACGTTCCAAGCGAGGGGTGGAGGGCGAACAGCCTCATATCATCGAGCCGCAGGCGGTCATTACCGTGCTGACTCCTCGTAAAGAGACCTACTATCTGGTGAGGACATTAGACTATTTAACCATAAGTCCATGATCTACCATTTCGGATGCTGTGATCATGGAAGCTCATCCAGACACTAATGTTAATTTAAGGGCTCTAGAAGCACTATTGATGAGCCTTCACTTCAGTCAGTCACAAAAAATAATGGCAAATATAGTGTCTAGTGTCCGGTCCTAATTCTGGGCTTGTTTTTGTTGTGAAGGATTGTTCAAAGTCGACGGCCCGCTGTGTGACATTCACCTGTCCCTTGATCAAGATGTCTACCTCTGCCAAGATCATTGTGAGGTCACGGGTGTGGAACAGTACTATGCTAGAGGTGAGAGGTCAGACATAACAGCAGGACTCTTGGACCAAAAGGGTCAAATTGCCAAATCCGAATAGGGTCATGACTATACCTTTTGGGGTTGTGTGTGTTTGGCAGGACTACAAAAATGCTTTGAGGATTGAGGTTAGAGGTCAGGCCACACTGAAACTTGTGACGGACAACCCCACCATCAAGATGGAAAGTGAGACCAGAGAGGTTAGTGTCGTAATGATGATGATGATGATAATGGTTAAGGATGATGATGTCACAAAGTGCTTCTACATCTGCATTGCTTGCTGTTTGGGGTTTTAGGTTGGGTTTCTGTATAGCACTTTGTGACATCTGCTGATGTAAAAAGGGCTTTATAAATAAAATGTGATTGATTGATTGATAGACGAATGGTCTTTTTACTATGGTATGGATGATATGGATATTGCTCATAATATTCCCCTGTGTCTCTCTCTCTCTCTCTCTCTCTCTCTGTCTCTCTCATTTCTATCCTCCAGTTCAGAGTGGACATTGACCCAGTTCTTGGGGTGGAGACACCTTACGAGGTTCCCCTGTGGATCATCATCGTTGCCGTGGGAGCAGGGATCCTGCTGTTAGGAATCATCAGCATCATACTATGGAAGGTGAGAACCCTAAGGACTTTCTGATCAATAACTATACTATAACTATACTATTTGTGGCTATCATGTTTGAATGTAAACCTGTTATGACATGCCTGTTGTACACAGCTTGCTTGCAATAGTATCCTGTTTACTCCAATGCACCAGTAAAATAAATTATTCTATGTAGCCTACATGTGTGACTGCCTTTTCATATTGACTGTATGAAGTATGAAGTATGTTATACTGTACCTATCAGTAATACTCCATTGAACTCAACTGCGCTAGCTGGCTAGTTTTAGCATGCTACTGCTAGCGAATAGCCTACAGTATAAGTGCTGCCCCATTAAACTCAATAGCGCTAGCTCGCTACCGCTAGCTAGCCGTTAGCTTCTCCATGTAGCTCCAGTCTAACTGTACCGCGTGATCCCCCAGTGTGGCTTCTTCAGGAGGGCCAGCAGGAGGGAGATGTACGAGGCCAAAGGCCAGAAGGCTGAGATGAAGAGCCAGCCCTCAGAGACGGAGAGGCTGACTGAGGACTACTGAGACAGGAGAGGCCCCCACTGAGGGGCCATGCTACACTCCACTAGGGCTCCTGGGTAATGCAGTCCTCCGGCCTCCGCCACGGGCAGCGTCTAGCATACTAGACATAACGCCTTGTAGATTGTGGGATGTAGTTGGTTGTAGGCTAGTAATGTGTATAAGGGGAATTTGGATTTCTTCCATACTAACTTTTCCTCATTGTCAATTCTAACTAGCTTTTGTGTCTCCCTTCTTTTTCAGGCTGATAGAGTGTACTGTACCTAACATTTTCTCCTTGTCTTTTCTACCGTATTTACTAAGTATCTATTCTACAGCATCTCTCACTCTCCTGATGAATGACTTTACTCTCTCTCCTCTTCAATCGCTTTTTTCCTCTATGGGAAAATGTATTTCTTGTACTAACATAAATTGTCTAACTTTGTCTAATTCCTGAGTTTAGCCTCCAGATTTTCCAATTCTTACATAAATGATCAACAGTTCAACACTATATGGCTTTCCCTAATGCTGTGTTGTCTGCCTGTCTGTCTTCCCAACAGCTTGGCTTCTTCAAGCGAGCCATCTACTACCGGATAATGCCAAAGTACCATGGAGTGAAAATCCGTAAGGAGGAGCGCTACCAGTTTAACATGGGCTTCCAGCCGGAGGATCCAGGCAAGAAGTACTGGATCACCAACTGGACAGAGATGCAACGTTACTACTACTGAAACCCTGACCTATGACCCTGAACTCTGAACTCTTGACCCCTGCCAAAGTTCAGAAGCATTGTGATGGAAGGACACAAGGGTTTCTGGGATGTCACACAACTTGGAGGGCACAGCACACAGACCAACTGTGAATACTGACCACATTGATTCTGGAACGTTTCTCCCCTGTGTATAAGTCTCTGTAGATTTCATCAAAATATTTTTTGTTCTTTTTTTGTGCAATATGCCAAATATTCTGTTTCAGAAATTGCTATGTTTAAAGTATTTTGATGAAAGCAGTGTTGTACATTGAAAGTGTGTTTAAAAATCCCAGTTTGGTTGTAAATTGATTTATTTTCGTACCACTGCATATTTAAGTACTGAAAAAGAAATACCTTTGCATGTATATCTTTCTTCCAAATGATCTATTTGCAAGTTCCTGAGCAAAGTTGTTTTTTGTCGTCACTGTTTCCTTTTTTAATCAGGTGAATGAGTCTGTAGATAGTCTGTAAAAATTATTATTGAATGTAAATGTACTTGTCCATGTTCCTTTCGTATCTCTTTGTTTTAGAATGTCACTGATTGTCAGTGGTTTAGCGATGATGTCACTACAACAGTAGTTTGGGAGATTATTTTGAACTGTGCAGAGCTTTATTGATCATCTGGATGACTTTGTTATGACAGAACAACAACAGTGCCTTAAAAGAGATGGATTCAGTGTTGACACTTATACAGTGCCTTCAGGAAGTATTCATACCCCTTGACTTATTCCACATTTTGTTGTGTTACATGTATGAAATCAAAATGGATTAAATAAATAAACATTCTCACCCATCTACACACAAAACCCCATAATGACAATGGGAAAACATGTTTTTAGAAATGTTTGCTAATTTATTGGAAATTAAATACAGAAATATCTCATTTACGTAAGTATTCACACCCCTGAGTCAATACATGTTAGAATCACTTTTGGCAGCGATTACAGCTGTGAGTCTTTCTGGGTAAGTCTCTAAGAGCTTTGCACACCTGGATTTTACTTGCGCATGATTATTTTTAAAATTCTTCAAGCTCTGTCAAGTTGGTTGTTGATCACTGCTAGACAAGTCTTACCATATATTTTCAAGCCGATTTAAGTCAAAACTGTAACTAGGCCACTCAGGAACATTCAATGTTGTCTTGGTAAGCAACTCCAGTGTATTGTGTTTTAGGTCCTCTAGGATTTTGCATGTGCTTAGCTCTATTCCGTTTCTTTTTATCCTAAAAAACTCCCTAGTCCTTGCCGACAAGCATACCCATAACATGATGCAGCAACCACCATGCTTGAAAAATATGTGGTACTCAATGATGTGTTGGATTTGCCCGCAACATAACGCTTCGTATTCAGGAAATAAAGTTAATTTCTTTGCCAATTTTTCTGCTGTTTTACTTTAGTGCCTTGTTGCAAACACAATGCATGTTTTGGAATATTTTTTATTCTGTACATGCTTCCTTCTTTTCACTTTGTCATTTAGGTTAGTATTGTGGAGTAACCACAATGTTGTTGACCCATCCTCAGTTTTCTCCTATCACAGCCATTTAACTCTGGAACTGTTTTAAAGTCACAATTGGCCTCATGCTGAAATCCCTGAGCGGTTTTCTTCCTCTCCGGCAACTGAGTTAGGAAGAACGCCTGTATCTTTGTAGTGACTGGGTGAATTGGTACACTATCCAATGTGTAATTCATAACTTCACCATGCTCAAAGGGATATTCAATGTCTGCTTTTTTTTTTTTTTTACCCATCTACCAATAGGTGCCCTTCTTTGCGAGGCATTGGGAAACCTCCCTGGTCTTTGTGGTATAATCTGTGTTTGAAATGCAATGCTTGACTGAGGGACCTTACAGATAATTGTATGTGTGGTGTACAGATATAAGGCAGTCATTCAGAAATGTTCAAGTTAAACACTATCGACATCGACAGATTTTTCACCTGGTTGGCTCGGGGATTAGAACCAGCAACCTTTCGGTTACTGGCACAACGCTCTTAACCACTAAGCTACCTGCCGCCACCACATTATGTGGTATTGTGTGTAGGACAGTGACACACAATCTCAATTTATTCAATTTTAAATTCAGGTTGTAACACAACAAAATGTGGAAAAAGTCAATGGGTGTGAATACTTTCTGAAGGCACTGTATGTATGTGGATTGCAGTACCCCCCAGTGCAGGGTCAAGCAGTTTAATATTGGTGCACTGCACACAGGAAAATTGTATCTGCACAGCTTTAGACAAATAGTATATTTGCAGGGTTTAAAGTTAGAGTTTAAAGTCCCTGTTATTTCCAGTAGATCTTGGATAGACAGAAAGCACATTACATAAGGGAAATTAGAAAAATAAGTTGTATGAAAGCAGGTTAACGTTTTTCGTCATGAATCTTGTTGTGGAGGCTGCTCTGCAGAGTGGTCACTAACTACACAGCCACAAAGTCATACAATCGGATTTTAAACCTAACCTTAACCTTAACCACAATATTAACCCTAATGCCTAACCCTAACCTTAAATTAAGACCAAAAAGCTAATTTTTGTTTTCCTGAAATTCTACAATATAATATTTTGATATATTATTTTACAATATAATATAATAATTTGACTTTGTAGCTGGCCTCTAAGGAGAAATTGCTTTGTTCTGCCTCAAGGACAAGACTCATGACAAATGTTCACCTGCGGTATGAAATGGCAGTACAGTCGTGGTCAAACGTTTTGAGAATGACACAAATACTAATTTTCACAAAGTCTGCTGCCTCAGTTTTGATGATGGCAATTTGCATATACTCCAGAATGTCATGAAGCGTGATCAGATAAATTGCAAAGTCCCTCTTCGCCATGAAAATGAACTTAATCCCCAAAAAACATTTCCACTGCATTTCAGCCCTGTCACAAAAGGACCAGCTGCCATCATGTCAGTGATTCTCTCATTAACACAGGTGAGAGTGTTGACGAGGACAAGGCTGGAGATCACTCTGTCATGCTGATTGAGTTAAAATAACAGACTGGAAGCTTTAAAAGGAGGGTGGTGCTTGAAATCATTGTTCTTCCTCTGTTAACCATGGTAACCTGCAAGGAAACATATGCCGTCATCATTGCTTTGCAAAAAAAGGGCTTCACAGGCAAGGATATTGCTGCTAGTAAGATTGCACCTAAATCGACCATTTATCGGATCATCAAGAACATCAAGGAGAGAGGTTCAATTGTTGTGAAGAAGGCGTCAGGGCACCCAAGAAAGTCCAGCAAGCGCCAGGACCATCTCCTAAAGTTGATTCAGCTGCGGGATCGGGCACCACCAGTGCAGAGCTTGCTCAGGAATGGCAGCAGGCAGGTGTGAGTGCATCTGCATGCACAGTGAGGCAAATACTTTTGGAGGATGGCCTGGTGTCAAGAAGGGCAGCAAAGAAGCCACTTCTCTCCAGGAAAAACATCAGGGAGAGACTGATATTCTGCAAAAGGTACAGGGATTGGACTGCTGAGGACAGGGGTAAAGTCATTTTCTCTGATGAATCCCCTTTCCGATTGTTTGGGGCATCCGGAAAACACCTTGTCCGGAGAAGACAAGGTGAGCGCTACCATCAGTCCAGTGTCATGCCAACAGTAAAGCATCCTGAGACCATTCATGTGTGGGGTTGCTTCTCAGCCAAGGGATTGGGCTCACTCACAATTTTGCCTAAGAACACAGCCATGAATAAAGAATGGTACCAACACATCCTCGAGAGCAACTTCTCCCAACCATCCAAGAACAGTTTTCTGACGACCAATGCCTTTTCCAGCATGATGGAGCACCTTGCCATAAGGCTAAAGTGATAACTAAGTGGCTCGGGGAACAAAACATCGAAACTTTGGGTCCATGGCCAGGAAACTCCCCAGACCTTAATCCCATTGAGAACTGGTGGTCGATCCTCAAGACAAACAAATTCCCACAAATTCTGACAAACTCCAAGCATTGATTATGCAAGAATGGGCTGCCATCAGTCAGGATGTGGCCCAGAAGTTAATTGACAGCATGCCAGGGCGGATTACAGAGGTCTTGAAAAAGAAGGGTCAACACTGCAAATATTGACTCTTTGCATAAACTTAATGTAATTGTCAATAAAAACCTTTGACACTTATGGAATGCTTGTAATTATACTTCAGTATACCATAGTAAGATCTGACAAAAATATATCATAACACTGAAGCAGCGAACTTTGTGAAGACCAATACATGTGTCATTCTCAAAACATTTGACCACGACTGTGCATACTGTACGTGACTCTACTAGCCTTATCCATCCTCTGCATATCTACTTCTCACAATGGCCCCTAAGCACTCCAGCATGACATAGAATAGCCTAGTAGTTGCTTGTTTTTATGCTCCATCTTTGGAACTAGCCAATATTCAGTGGTGGGATGGGATGTTTGTAGTGAACTTGAATTGTGAATGGCCGACAGGAGATGAACACTTCTCTAAATGATTATTTATTTGACTGAACTGTGTGGTTACGACAGTAGAGTAGAGAGTAGGTTGTTCAAGTTGTAATCATATAGAGGGAGTCGTAACACTGAACTTAATGTACAGGTCTTTGGCCTGCCATGAGATTACTGTACGTGACAGCAATGTCAGCGGGCTACAGACACTACACTTAGGGCTCTATTCAATCCGTATCGTGGAAGTTCAGCGTTACAGTGTGATTTACATTTAAAGGCAATGTTCCCGCGTTAGCGGAGACTGCATTCACGGTAAACGCTGTACCACACAGTGTACTGTAGATTGTGAGCGTGAGCAACAGGATTTTATGGATTCTCTTAGTAAGTTACCCTAGTGTGTGAATTACTGACTGTTTGAATGACTGCGTTTCTCCTGAATCATTTACATAGTAACATTTTACTTGTGTGGTTTCTTCCGTCGTTCATTACTGTGCTTCATATTGTGAAGTTATTTGGAATGTTTGGTAGGCAGCAGAGCATTTCTTGTTGTGGTCAACCTGCATCACTA